TCTCATCACAATTGAAATTTAAAAATTTTTTTTCACTCTTGCAGTTAATAATTTATTAATTTACTCCACTAGTTGTGGTACTTAAGGATTCTTTGGGTAGAGTGTTAAATGATCCAAGAAGCATTAAAAGAAGATGGAAGGAGTATACAGAGTCACTGTACCAGAAGGAACTGGCTGACACAGAAGAATTTCTTGAAATAATGTATGAGCAAGAGCCTGTGGTGACGAAGGAGGAAGTTCAAGGTTCTATGAAAGAAACGGCGAAGAACAAGACTCTAGGAGTTGATGGCATACCAATTGACATATTTCAACAAAAAGACGCTGCTCTGGATGTGCTCACTAAGTTGTGCCAAGAAATCTGGAGGACATTCAGCTGGCCAACTGACTGGAAGAGGTTTACTCCCATTCCAAAGAAAGATGACCCAACAGAGTGCAGAAATTCTCAGGCAATATCATTAATATCACATACAAGCAAGATTCTGCTAAAAATGATCCAAAAATGACTGGAGCAACATGTCAACAGAGTGCCAGATGTGCAGGCTGGTTTTAGAAGAGGTAATGGTACTAGGGATATTATAGCTAATGTTAGATGGATCTTGGCAGAAAGCAAAGAGTATGATAGGAATGTCCATCTTTGCTTCATTGACCATGCAAAGGCTTTGGATTGTGTGGATCATAACAAACTGTGGCTGACTCTGAGAAGAATGGGAATCCCAGAACATCTGATTGTGTTTATGTGAAATCTATACTTGGACCAAGAGGCAGTCGTCAGAACAGAGCAAGGAGACACTACATAGCTCAAAATTGGAAAGGGGGGCTGCCAGGGATGTATTCTATCTCCAAACCTTTTCAATCTGTATGCAAAACAGATTATCTGGGACACTGGGCTGTGCAAGGAGGAATGTGACATCAGTATTGGTGGAAGATTCATCAACAACCTGCCTTATGTAGATGACACAACCCTGCTTGCTGAAACTGAGGAGGACCTGAAGGGCTTGCTGCAGAGCATCAATGACTGCAGCCTTCAATACAGATTAATCCCCAATATCAAGAAAACAAAGATTCTCACCATTGGGACAATTGGCAGCACGGTTTTGGATGGTGAAGAGATTGAGATAGTTTACAACTTTAGTTTGCTTGGCTCCACAGTGAACACTCTTTGTATCAGCAGCCAGGAAATCAAGAGACGAATTGCATTGGGAAAGTCAGCTGTCAGGGACCTCTCCAGGGTACTGAAAAGCAACGATGTCAGACTGAAGACTAAGGTGCACCTGATTCGGACCATAGTCTTTGCAATTGCTTGCTATGCATCATAGAGTTCAACAGTGACTAAGGATGATAGAAAGAGAATTGATGCCTTTGAGCTGTGGTGTTAGAAAAGAGTGTTGAATATACTACGCACTGCTAGGAGAACAAACAGGTTTGTCCTGGAGAGGGGGAAGCTGGGCTGCTCCTTAGAGTCAAGGATTCTGAAGCTTCATCTGACATACTTTGGGCATGTTGCAAGGAGGGGCCAGTCCTTGGAGAGGGACATCATGTTTTGGAGAGTGAATGTCACATAACAGTACAAAAAATATCCAGTGCTATTTTATGAAACTTCAAGGAGACTTTTTCATATAATTGCTTGTATTTATTTGTTTAAAAATTTGAGGCAGAGCATTTGGCTACTTAAAAAGGGGATATTAAGGGATGAGTCTTAAAGTTTACAAGAGTGGTTATTAGTGGGATCATTATAAGAGAGGAAAGAAAACCTCACAATACAAATGGTATATAATGTAAATTAAGGACTGTTCGGAACACAGTGTACATGCATCAAACACTATATATATATGATAAAAATAATAATAAAAATTAAGAAAAATAATTCGAGGCAATATGAATTTTCTACTATATTGGTGTCTTTTGACAATAGCTTGAAACAGGAAGAACAAAAACTTTCTGAATGTTGATTTTATAAAATATTGAAGCTCAGAATAAGAAGATTGATTTTTTTTAATCAGTTCAAAACTCACTGGGAATTATAGTGGCTTAGTTGTAAAGAATTCCACTTCCAATCTAAAGGTAATTGTTGTGTAGCATTGAGTCAAAACTGACCCATAGCTGACCCTCTGGGCAATTAGTTGCACAGGAGGAGGTTGGCCATCCTTTTCTTACGAAGCAGCTGGTGAATACCAACCACATATCTTCATGATTGTACTGCAATTTTCTTACCACTAATCCACCAGAGTTCCATGGTTCAAATCTACCACCTGCTCCACAGGAGATAGATAGGCAGTCTCCTATGTAGATATCATATCAGTCTTACTTTCTAGAGAAAATAATGTCTACCCATACACACATTCCTGAAGTTCTGATATGTATATTTATTATTTAGACCAAATAAATAATTGATCACTGAAATGTAAAATGTTCCTTCATTGCATTTCCTCTCCCCCCCACCTCCCAATCTATGGGAGTTTTCATTTAAGAATTTTCATGAGAACAATGATAATTTAGGTTACTCTTTCAATAATATATATCTTAAAATAGTTCATTCTGTGAACAGTGACAATAACTTAGCCTTTGCAGCATGGTATAGATTTTATAAGACAGGTTCATTTACTATATCTTAGCTATTTCAAAGCAAGGAGAGGAGGCAATCACAAATCTTCCAAGGCGTGACCTGAACCACTCAAGGTCCACAAATACTAAATTACAATCTCTAATTTAAACAGATACTTATAGGCTACACTGAACCAGGCAAAGAGATAGAGAGAACCACAACCCCTTAAGTATAAATTTGCAAACTAAAGTAATTGGAAATCATCTCAGTTTTAGAGGAGACATTGACAAATACAGGAAAAAGTAAGGATATTTTTTTCTTCCTCTACTTTTCATTTAAAAGATAAAGCCTTCAAGCCCATTGTAATACGCTAAATAGTGCATATGCCCATTAGAGTGAGCTTGGTTAGATGATAGCTTATGAAAGAGGGCAGTAGATGGAAATATCTTAATTGTAGAGCAAAAGTAAGAACTTTTACTGGGGATTGTCCTAAGTCATAAATACATAGACACATAGGGTCATTTGTAAGTCCCAAAGATTTTTAAAAATCAAGCTATAGAACAATATCATTGATTTCACATGCAAGCAAGATTCCACTGAAGATTATTTAAAAAAACGACTGGAACAGTACATCAACAGAGAACTGCCAGAAGTCCAGGCTGGGTTTAGAAGGGGTTGTGGTACTAGGAATATTGTAGCTGGTGTTAGGTGGATCTTGGCTGAAAGCAGGGAATATCAAAAGAATGTCTACCTGTGTTTCATTGATTATACAAAGGTGTTTGACTGTGTGTATCATAACAAACTGTGGCTGACGCTGAGAAGAATGGGAATCCCAAAACATTTAATCGTGCTAATAAGAAACCTATACTTGGACCAAGAGGCAGTCATCAGAACAGAGCCAGGAAACACTGCATGGTTCAAAATTGGGAAGGGTGTCTGCCAGGGATGTGTCCTGTCTCCATACCCTTTCAACCTGTATGCAGAACAGATTATCCGGGAGGCTGGGCTCTATGGGGAGAAATGTGGGGTCAAGATTGGTGGAAGATCTATCAACAATCTGCGTTATGCAGATGACACAATCCTGCTTGCTGAAAGTGAGGAGGACCTCATGCACTTGCTACAGAGGGGTCAAGGACTGCAGCCTTCAATATAGATTGAGGCTCAATGTCAAGAAAAGATTCTCACTACTGGACCAATTGGCAGCATCAGGATGGATGGTGAAGAGATTGAGATTGTTAACAGCTTTAGTTTGCTTGGCTCCACAGTCAACACTCTTGGCACTAGTAGCCAGGAAATTAAAAGACGTATTGTGATGGGAAAAATCTGTTGTTAGGGTCCTCTCCAAAGTACTGAAGAGCAATGTTGTCTCTCTGAACACTAAGGTGCATCTAATAAGGGCCATGGTCTTTGCTATCACTTGTTATGCATCAGAGAGTTGGACAATGACCAAGGAGGATAGAAGGAGAATTGATGCCTTTAAGCTGTGGTGCTGGAGAAGAGTATTGAGGGTTCCATAGAGTGCTAGGAAAACAAACAGATTCATCCTGGAGAGGGTTAAAGTGGGCGGCTTTTTGGAGGCAAGGATTCTGAGGCTCCATCTAACATACTTTGGATATGTTGTAAGGAGGGATGTCCTTGGAGAAGGACATCATGCTTGGTAGGGTGGAGGGACAGTGCAGGAGGGAAAGGCCCTCTATGAGATGGATTGATTCAATGACTGGGATAATCGGGATGTGTGTATTGGAGACAGTGCAATTGGCACAGGACAGAGTAGAGTTTAGGGCTGTTGTACATAGGGTCGCTATGAGTTGCAAGCGACTCGACGGCACATAACAACAACATTTTATTTTAAAGTTTGAAAAATAAATTCTCTTGAAACACAAAATTCAGTAAGTACTGTACAAATTATCTTAAGCCTACGTGCAGCATGGCTGATTGGAAAGGAAAAATAGGAACGGAAGAAGGACATTGCGAATTTGTTGTTTCTGTTGTGGGCCAACAAGTAGAAATCAACTCATAGCTGACCCTCCAGCAAATTATGAGGGGCTGAAAACTAAATCACATGGCAAGTCAAAGATGAGGAAGTTTACTGCTTCTGAAAACTCACTGGAAGGTCAGCTGTAGATCAATTCATACTCCAAGGTATAGAACAACAATAACAGCAAATTAATGTAGAAGAATTATTTCAAAGTTAATGCTTTAAGCTTGAATTTTTCATTTGCAGGGCTGTTTTATGTATGACATTCTTAATACAGTTTTTTTAACTGAAGTTTCTTAGAATATCTTGATACATATATCATCACTGCATTTTAAATCCATTTTTGTCAAATTTTTCCCATCAATCCTGTCTACTCAAATGCAGAGCGTCCAAAAATATCGAAGTGAGAATTACAAACTAGGGATATTGTAAAATGAACTTTTTGTCTTTACAGTTTGGGATTTTTTTTCCCCCCTACAGTCATTACATGAGACAGATACTGGAAGCACTCCGCTATTGTCATGATAATAACATCATTCACAGGGATGTGAAGGTAAGTCTTTTTTTTTTTCTCACTAGCTTTAATGTAATGTGATGTGATGTGATGTGATGTAAACTTACATTTCACTTATGAATAAAAATTTATTTAATTGCTTAATGTTGGGGAAGTCTCCTTGTTTCTGTCTTTGCAGATAAGTTTTAAAACAATATGAAATAATAATTTTAGATCTAGTATGGTTTCGTTTATACCCTTATGAATATGAATATTGATATCTTTCTGCCTGTTTGATGCCAGTATCATTGAGAATTCTCAGTCCCTGGCTTTTCACAGTGTCAAGCAGAGCAGAGAGACAGAAATGCAGTGAAAGAGACTGGTGAGCCTTACTCCAAGTATCCGACCCCTTTCAAGACCCAGACTCACTCGAAAATCCCTGACTGTGTTCTGAACCTGACATACACATCTAGACTCACATATGTATTATGAAAGGCCTCACTTCCTCAATATATTCTATTTATGGTTAGGAAATTTGAATAGAGTTTAGTTGAACATGCTATTACGTTTAGTAAATTTTAACTTTTTAAAACTTATTATTTATGGTTTGAGTGAATGTTTACAGAGCAAATTGGTTCACTATTCAATAATTCATCCAAATTTTCTTTTGTGACAATGATTTCAATCCCCACAATGTAACCACATTCTTTCTACTTCCTCCATTTGCTTCTCATTTCTGTTTGTCCTTTCTTAGCCTGCCTGGCTTCTATGCTTTACCCCTGTGCTTTACTTCTTGTGATGTTGTGTGGTTGACAATTCTAAGGAATATACTCTTCCCTGGTGTTATCTATCTATTACTTAGAAAAGGTATGGAGATAGGACACATCCCTGGCATACACCCTTCCCAATTTTGAACCATGTGGTGTTTCCTTGCTCTGTTATGACCACTGTCTCCTCCTGGTCCCAGTATAGGTTTCACATTAGCATGATCAAGTGTTCTAGGATTCCCATTCTTCTCAGAGTCAGCTATAGTTTGTTGTGATCCATAGTCATGAAAGACCCCAAACTAGGGTTTTCCCAGACCGGGTGTGACCCCAAGCAACTCACACCAGATCCACTCGCTGCAATCACAAGAGGCTTTATTGACAAAGCTTCAGGACGACTTGTATCTCACACAGGAGACAGGGAAGTCGACCCCGAGCCCCAAAAAGCAAAGGAATTTATACAAGGTCTAGGGGTTCTTTGGCGTGGAATTAGCTCATTGGCTCGTTGGAAAAGGAGAAGTTCAATTTTAGGTCAGTTACCTGCTGCTGACGTTAGTTAAAATATGATTTTTGCCAGTAATTGTTTTTTTCAGTTTGTGGTCAGCTAGTTTCTGGAACACAAACATTCACACAAGATCAAAGGTATAGGTTCTTACAATACAGAGAAAAAGTATAGGTTCTTACAATACAGATCAAAGGTATGGGTTCTTACAATACTTGGTTTTGGGGACATTGTTTTTTTAAAAAATTTTCCTTTCAGTCAAACGCCTTTGCATAATTAATGAAACACAGATACACATTCCTCTGGTACTCCTGGCTTTCAGCCAAGATCCATCTAACATTAGCGACAATATCCCTAGTACTCAGCCTGGACTTCTGGAACTTCTCTGTTGATGTGTTGTTCCAGACGTTTTTATATAATCTTCATCAGAATCTTGCTTGCATGTGATATCCATGATATTGTTCGATAATTTCCACAGTCTGTTGGGTCACTTTTCTTTGGAATGTGAACAAATATAGCTCTCTTCTAGTCAGTTACTACTAGATTGATCTCTTCCAGCTTCTATCTAGTACCATAATTATTTGTCTATCTGAATAGGGATGATAGAAAGAGAATTGATGCCTTTGAGCTGTGGTGCTGGAATAGAGTGTTGAATATACCATGGACTGCTAGGAGAACAAACAGGTTTGTCCTTGGAGAGGGTGAAGCCAGAGTGCTCCTTGGAGTCAAGGATTCTGAAGCTTCGTCTGACATACTTTGGGCATGTTGCAAGGAGGTCCTTGGAGAGGGACATCATGTTTGGCAGAGTGGAGGGGCGGCGAAGGAAAGGAAGATCTTCAATGAGATGGATTGATTTTGTGACTGGAGTGGTGGGAATGAGTGCATTTGAGATGGCTAGGTTGGCACAGGATAGACCAGCGTTTAGAGCTCTTGTACATAGGGTCCCTATGAGTCGCAAGCAACTCGATGGCACATAACAAAACAACATCTGTAAGGACAACCACAAACAATTACGTCCAGCCCATTAAATCCAAATTAGATTTATGACCTTTTAACTACAATGCATAAGAACTGACAGTGCCAGTTTTAGGCACTGGCTTTAATGGCACTTCCATTTGTTTATGTGGAGTCTTGAGACATAACTATGATGGGAAAAGGAGCTTTGTGAGGAAAGTCCCTGAATAAGTCACTATGCATTAAAAGTAGTCAGCTCCCAGCTCTAGTTAACTCAGGTAAGGAGCCAAAAAAGTATGTGAAACCTCTTTGGATATTCCAGCCTTAGTCACCGCAGCTCAAGATGTGTGAAGCAGAACTGAACAGTACCCATCAATCTCTGCCTAAATTATAGAATTGTGAGTAAATAATCACTATTGCTTCAAGTCATTAAGCTTTGGTGTATGCTGTTATGTAGCACTACATAATATATATTGCCTGATTTCCCCTGATTCTTAATACCTCCAGGGCTTCAAGCATAGTATTTTGCATAAAGCAAGGCCCTCACATATTTGTTGCATAAATAAATCAGATGGTAAATTTGATGGTAAGTAAAATACAAGTACTTTTAGATTTTGTTTTGGATTATCTATATCAAATGTCATGGCTAATCAAAAGCTGATTGTTGTTGTTGTTAGGTGGGGTCAGTCAAGTATGACTCAGTATGAACAAAAGATCTAAACCTTGTTCTATCATGATATCCCCACACTTCCTGATAAACAAAAGCCCATTATGGCAGTCACCCTGTCAATCCAGCTGGTTCAAGATCTTCCTCTCCTTCAACAACCCTCCATCCTTCCCAGAATCATGTCCCTTTCCAAGAAATAGCCCCTCCCAGCAACATGTCCAAGGTAAGTGAGGCGAAGCCTCATCATTCTTGCCTCGAAAGAGTACTCTGGCTGCACCTTCTCTAAAACATTTATTTGTTCTCTTGGCTTTTCCAACGCCACAGCTCAGACTTCCCATGTTTTTTGTGCTTTTATGATTGGATAATCAGTCTTTTTCTTGTGGAAGCTGTAAAGTATTCTGTAAATTTGTTATGAGACCCTTGTGTAAGATGGCATTGCCAAATGCTTTTTCCTGATCAGTGGGTTTTCTTTTAAATAGAGAAAAGTTTGTGATGCACACAAGGATTTAATCTTTAGAAAGTATCATTTATCAGTGTTATCCTCTTATGGTTGTGTATTACTGGCTATATTTGCCAGCCTCTTAATACTATAGGCTAGGCCTTCAATGTTTTGTTCCATTTTTTCTCTTATGATCTTTATGGTTTTGGGCTATACTAGGTAAAGTCACTTGATTTTTTTAGTATGGTGTGAGACGTGTATCCTACTTCAGCTTTGTGCACGTAGATCTAGTTTTCTAGCACTATTTACTGATGAAGTTGTTGTTTCCCCATTCAATAGATTTGGTTTACTTGTCAAATATCATTTCAACAGGTAGGTAGGGTTAATTTCTGAGTTCTCAATTCTTTTCCATTGGTCTGTCATTGTACCAGTACCATGTTGCTTTGGTTATTACAGCTGTGTAGTAGGTTTTGAGATCAGGATACACTATGTCTGTTACAGAGCACAAGGGTTTCTTTCCGTAGTCTTTACTTTATTACACAGATCTGGGAGACAGTGAGTCACCTCCAAGACTGTTATAGGAGGGTGAGACACCAACTTTCTTAACAATAAACTTTTGTTAGTAAAATCAAAGAATTTCTATATCTGAAAGAAAATCATTCACACCCAGATACTCCCTTTCCAGGCAAACAGGCAGATTAAGTTACAATTTACATATGATTGGGGGAAACAGCTTCAAAGAGATAACAGCTAACCTAGGAGATGCATTTCCTCTTCTGATTAACAGACAGATCACAGAAAGGACACCAAGAACTCCAAGGTCAAGCAACCAGTCTCACACACTGGAGAAAGCTATAGTTTTGTAAGTGACACCTGCATAGAGAATTCTGAACTTATTAATACCACCCTATCGTTCCCCCCTCTTTTTATATCTATAAGACAAACATGCCACCCCATCATTCCCCCCTCTTTTGATGTAAATCTTGTATCTGTAAGACAAACATCTGGGTTGATTCTTAGGGGAGTTATTTATGGGTTCCCCATTTGGTAATAGGGTGCATTCTCTGGCTGCTTCATGCTGAACTGGGGCGTTGAGATGGAGGGGAAGGTGAACCCACTTTCACTCTTCATTGGTGGTCTTGAGTTCAAGCTGCATACCTTCTTTTTCAGTTAGATAATATTCTCTGATCTCTGGACTGCAAGATTTTTAGGAAACAGGGAATGCAGACACAAATTAGAACACAAACATCAGGAAGCAAAGGCTGATGTTTGTTTTCCCAACCTCACATGATTTAACAAATCAGTAATACTTTAGTGACATTCTAATACGCAGGAACAGCATTAGTTACTATACAACTATGCTGATGCACTGTTTTAAATTTACTAATTTTTAGCTATTGAACTTTTCTATGTGTTCAAGTTCTGCTCTACTAATTTTAAGTTACATGAGATGTTCTCTATCAACTGTTTGTAAACATAAAACAAAGAAACTTAAGGGGGAGTGATTATTTGTGACTTGAGTCCAACGGAAGTGGCTGGTTGAACTTTGCTTCCTTAGCTGGCAGTCTATCTCTGGAACAAGGCTCAGGGTCTGGAACAAACCTCAGTGTTCAGGTTACCTATAGGAAAGGGAGCAAACCTAGAAAGAACAAACTTGTGAGTTACTAGAGGAGATGGAGGAAGGTGGCTTAGATAAAGTTTCTCACACACAATTTGATGGGCTTAATTTAAGCC